TCAACAATTCGTTAAGGGGGGCTCTTAAATCATACATTTTAGGTATGTAGATTGCATAATATTGTGCCAACCCCAGAAATGATTGTAGTTTCGCAACTGTGTCGGGTGCAGGCATGTTCTTAATTGCATCGGCTCTCTGTGGGTCCGGTTTCCTGCCTTCACTGTCTATTACCTGTCTGAGGTATGTAATTCTTTCCATGAAGAATTTACACTTCTCATGGCTTAATTTAAAGCCAAAATCTTCTAGTCTTTTAAATATTGCTCTGATGTGCGTTTTATGTTCTTGAACATTCTTACTTTTGACTAGAATGTCATCTAAATAGGCGGTACCAAACTCAAGGCCCGCCAGTATAGTGTCCATCACCTGTTGAAACAAAGCTGGGGCGACCTTTAAGCCGAAAGGAAGCCTATTTAGCTTATAAATACCTTTATGTGTATTTATACACAAATTTTTTGAGCATTCGTCACTCACTTTAATCTGCAAGTATGCGTCAGACAGGTCGATTTTTGAAAAAAATCTTCCCACCATTCAATTTTGAAAAAATATCTTCTGGTGAAGGTAGTGGATAACTGTGATTTTTCAGGCAATCATTTAACCCTGTTGAAAAATCTGCGCACACTCTTATTTTTCCGTTTTTCTTCTTAACATAAACTGTGGGTAAGGCCCAATCTGAATGGTCAACATTAGATATCACTCCCATTTTTTCAAGTCTTTCCAATTCCTTATTAATTGTGTCTAAGGAGGAAAAAAGAACGTTTCTCTTAGGTTTAAAAATTGGTTTCACATTTTCCTTGAGTTCAAATTTGACTTCCGTCTTAGTACATAAACCCAATCCCTCAGAAAAAACTCTGGGATATTCTTTTAATTCATTCATGAATTTTTCATTTTTAATCCTTTTTTGTTTTTCTGCACTGTTTATTACGTTGCAAAATGAGTTAATCGGGAGTTCAAACAAATCAAAGAGTACTATCCAGTCTATTCCAAAAAGACATGAATTAATCCCTTGGATTACATACACTTTCGTTTTTGCAGTCTTGCCACATAACGAAATATCGCACTTTAATTCTCCCTTAAAGTTTAATTTCTTTCCTGAAACCCCTCTAGCGTTTTTTGGTTTCAGATAATTTAGGTCTTCAATATTTTTCCATGTTTGTTCATCAATGATGCTTATGTCTGAACCAGAATCCAATAGGAAAGTAATTGTATGATTATTTATCGTACATCTACGTACTTTCTATTTTTACCTTTCTGAATTTCTTTTTCTGATAATACCAGGCTTACATCTTGTAATTTCCTTTTCTTACGGCAAACCGAATATTTATGCCCCTTATTTCCGCACGATTGGCAGAAGTTATTTTTGTACCAACACACGTCTTTGGTATGATTTTTTTTTCCACACGATTGGCAGAATTTATTTTTGTACCAACACGTGTCTTTGGTATGGTTATTTTTTCCACACGTCTCACATTTTTCTATCTTTTGAGTTTTTATGTGTCGAACATTAGTAACACTTTTCTCCTCAATTTGTGTATTATCCCTTTTTACGTTAATGAGACGTTGGCATTCTTCGGTCACCCTTTGTAATGTTATTTTTGAGTCTTGCTCGACCATTATTAATATTCTCGACCTAATTTCTTTATATTTAGGATCAGTTAGTCCTTGAAGAAAAATTAGGCACTTGAATACATCTTTGGTTATTTCTTCTAACTTGAATTGTTCAACCAGAGTTCACTGTTCCCGCGTATGTCAGAAAATCCTCGTTATCTGCTTTAACGATGTTTAGGCATCTGTATCGCGTGTGGAACAGACTATTCCTTTCGTCAAATATTTTTGACAGAATACTTATAGTTTCTTCAAACGAAACTTCTTCTGGCTTTCTGGGCAATATCAAGTTTGATTACTTCGTATTCTCGTTTGTCCCTAGTTTCTGGACTAATAATTTTACTCGTTCCTCATCCGACCAATGTTGACATCTCTTGGTAAATATAGTTTTGAAACGTTTAAAGTATGCTGGAAATGTAATGCCCGAATCAGGTTCATAAATAAATTTGGATAATGAATTTGCTATTCCTTTGGCAGAAAAAAACAATATTTTTCCTTTCTCCAGTCACCTGTTTCAGAATTTTTTCGAGAATTTTTTGCTGTTGCAATATTTGTTGTTGTAAGTCTTGGTGCTGTTTTTGTTGCTGCTGTTGTAACTCTTGATGCTGTTGTTGTTGCAAGCTTGTACACCGCATTTTAGTCATTTCAACTAATTGCTCCATCCTGACTTTATATAGAATTCGGCAAAAATTTTTTTTTTTTTTTTTTTTAGACGGTTAACAGACAATTTACAGCCGTAATATTTTTACAACCCGTAATTTTTACTTGAATAATCAATTATTAGACCGGCTCGCATTTGAGTCGCGGTTCAATATATATTTTTCAAATCACAATTTAACAGTAAAAGTTTTCTTACTTTTCAAAAAAATTTCCTTTTGACTTGTGACTCCGTTTTCCAAATCCTAATTGGCGTCAACAGATATCTTTGACTTGCGAATCTGCTTCCGAAATCGGTTCAGCGTAATCTGATATATATATATATTTTTTTTTTTCAGGTAAGTACGTTGCACAATCCTCGTCGCCAGCTGTTATATCTCGTGCAAGATATAATAAACAAAGTAAACCCAAGTGTTGGTTTTTCAATAATAATTTTATAATCAGATGTAGGTATGTCAAAATACAGTGACAGAGTCAGGAGTATGCTAACCTCAATAGGTGTTACAAACGAAGACCTTTTCACTGTCCGTGGTGGTCGTACTTAATCGGCAACCAGTCCGTCCATTATCGTGAATGGGGAAGTTGGTTTATCTCATCACAACAATTACACATGCAAGCAAAAATACAATTATATATTTGGGAATAGTTCTGAAGCAATTGGTAGTGTATGTCACCACTGCTGCAAATTAAGTGGGGTTACTACTATTATGATTATGGGGTTTTATAATAAAAGGAAAAAAAATACTTAAGTTATTGTAACTTTAACTATCTAGCTCCAAATCTTCTAGGTTAATGCTGAAAATGAATTGTGAGGAAAAACATGTAACATAAAAAACAACAGGATATTGAGTTGAGAGGTTATTTCAATTTACGTAATTATGTGTGGGTATTAAATTTACAGACATGGTTTTTTTTTTATGGTGCATGTTACATGTGATATTTGACAGAGTACATAAATATTTTAGTATTATGAATTTTCTTTTTTTGTTTAACTTACTTAAATGTCTCTGTCACAAATTTTTGCATCTGTTGTCTTTGGGAATCAAGTCCTACTGCCTTGTCTAGTGGTTAAGTGAACACTAATTTTGATATTATACAGATTTTGGCGGTACAAGAAAGGAAAAGATTTTCACTTTTTAGCTGAAATGAAATATCACTTAGCAACTGCTACATACAGGGTGCGATGGGTAAATTGTCGCCATTTTATATTTTTAATTTCATGCATGCCTGTTGTTTGTTTTTGATTTTGTCAAGTGCACAGTATAGTAGGCTCAGTTGGGCACCATCTATGAGTAAAAGAGCACCATGATGTAATTCACTCTGTTAGAAATTTGGAAATGGCATACTGTACTGTTTGGCATTCATGCTGGAAGCTCCGATACAAACATTTCAAGGTGTTTCATTGTCAATCTGAGGACAGTGAAGAGGATTTGTAAAGAGTTAGATGAGTTTAATGGTGATTATGAAGATATGACAGTTCAGAAAACTAACTCTGATAAGAAGAGTACTCCCGAATTTATTGGCGAGAGCCTCAAACTCAATGCGGAGGCCTACATCAATTGCCTTGAGTAGGTAGTGCTGCCCTGGGTCAAGAGGTTGGCTGCTGGAAGACTACGACTGGCAACAGGATTCTGCATCATGGCACACAAGCAGAAGAACTCAGTCATGGCTCTCAGACAATTTCTGCAACCACATCACCCCTTACATCTGGTCACTTAACACCCCAAACTACAACACCTTTTTTTATTATGTATGGGGCGCAGTTGAGAAAGAGACCAACAAAACTCCTTATAACACTAAAGATAAACTGAATGCAAGGATTATGGCAGCATTCACTAAGTTAAACAAGGATACTATCCAGAAGAGTTGCAGGAGAGTTTTTCAGAGGCTGTGGTAGAAGCCAATGATGATTTTATTGAATAAATTTACTCTTTCATATTTCAAGATATTTTTTGTATTTTTGGTAAATATTTCTGTTAAAATGAGATGTCAGTGTTATTTTCATTTTTGCGTAACTTAAAAGACAATTTATCCATCGCACCTGTATATATGCTCTATGATGCAAGTAGGACAAAAGATTTTTATGTCCACATATTTTGGCAATTAATCATTGTAAACCATCTGTCATAATTTGTTTAAGATGTTTTTGACAAATGTAAAATGTAAATAACTTTTGAAAATCATTTGAAATACTTTTCATATTAAGGGAAATAAACCAAACCACATTTAAATATCCATATATACAATTTTTTTTTCAACTTTATGAAATTTTCTAATACACCAAAGATAGCAGTAATTTGAAATGAAGCAGAAAAATAACTTATGGGTTTTATATATTTTATTAACAAAACAAAAACTTGACATCTTCCTCTAGATTCAAATTTTTAGTTTTTGATTAAGTTCTCTTGTCTATTTTCCACATAATTTATGTTTCAGTACTTTTCCTTATAGCTTTTATTCTATTCTATTTACATATAAATGGTTTCTCAAAGTATTGGTTGGCCTTTCAATTCTCTCAAATGATGAGATTAATTTTAACTTGTTTCATTACAATGTATTTATCTTTATATATCATCTTATTAATAAACTCATAAATACACTGTCATCATAGAGTCTAAAAGCTGAGCAGATAGCTTGTGTGGGAATAAAATGAACTGTAAAAAGAATATATTTAAAATTTTGCTTTCTAAAATTTAAAAACTGCCAAGTGTTTAAGAGCTGTCATTATTGTAATACTCACCTTGAATTCATTTTCGTTGTTAACAACTTCTGAAAAGCCAGCAACATTCTGAGTGTCATGAGGTATGACACTAGTTTCAATGCCCGAGTTAAGTGGATGATCATACATAGACATACGAGGAAACATGGGATAATCCCACCAGGGTTCATCAAAGGGGCTCCAGTGACGTTGGTGGAAGAATGGCCTTACTTGGCGATGCTTGCCAAACATACTGGGGAAATTAGAATTGCTGTGCTGCTTCAAATAGTGCTGCTTCTGAATATGAAAGAACAATGAAAATGATGTGATCTTTAAGATTGAACAATAAAGAAGAAAAACATTATTTCTTAGTACAGTTTCTTTATCGGGCATTTTTTATGCTAGTAATTCTTAATAAATTTATATTTACTTATGACCAATTTCATATACCTTTGCAGTTGAGCTTCATAGTGTACTGGTCTAAAAAACCATAGATTGAGAATTCAAAGTGCACTGGAGGCATTATGCATTTTATTAATATATAGCATAGATTATCAAGTCATTTATTTATATTCTGAATTAAATTTTCATATCATTAGAAGGGGGTGAACTTATTGCAAAGAGTTTCAGTTAGATATTTGCATATTTCGCACTCAGCTACATTATAGTACAGTTAAGTGATAAGTAAATATGTAGAGGAGTTATTTTTGTGTTGTATTATGAGGAAATTGTAAACTATCATTTATGGATGCATTTTTTATCTTACAGCAATATCCATTCACACCATATACTGGTATAATTGATTTGGGTGGGGGGATATTAACCTTGTGGAATAATTAAAAGAAAATGCACATAATGAGTATTGATAAATATAAAAGTAATTCTTTATATAACACAATATAATAATACAGAAGGATAAGGTGTTAGCTGAAGTTTCAAGAGTTCAAGTGTAAAAGTCCTGGCTCATAAGAGAAAGAACCTGGTAGGAAGTAAATATTACATATATATATGTATACATTTGTGTGTATGTATCCAAAAGTAGTAGCCACTGCTTGATCACATGGTAAAGGAAGATATGTTTGTTTTCAGTGTAGCAATGTTAGCCATCTAAGGTTGCCAGCTAGTCATGCAAATATTGTATTTCATCTTGGGGTATGTTATGATGAACACAACAGCAGAGGATGGACAAAATTAATTTATTAACACTGAATTTGACTCATTTTCCAACTATTTACATACATATCTATAGATCTGATTTCAAAATCCTCTCCCTTTTCATTGGCTAATGGCCTTATATCCTGGTTGTGAATGCTTTCTGATTGGTTAGATGAACTATTTTTAGATGGTGAAATTTTAGTCTCCTTGTTATTATTTGTTTATTTCTTTTCTTACATCTTGGTTGTGAAAGCTTTCTGATCTAGGTTGAACTATGGCTTTGTTTACCTGGCAATTTTTATTATCCATCTATTTTTAGAGATGGTGAAATTTAGGACTTTTTGTTATTTATTTTTATTTATTTCTCTATCACAACAGCATACACTATAGGCCAAAGATTTGGGGATACCCTAAGGATTTTGAAGAATCAACTAAAAAAAAAAGATTGCCTGCCTTTTTCAAAACTAATTTATTAGTTCACTTTGGACCAGAGAGACTTTCTCTTTCTGTAGTGTTTTATCATATATTCAATAATAATAACAAAATTAATCCATTACTGCATAAGGTTTTCTTAAAATTTTAGCTGTTTTTACCTAATTTACCTTGTTGGCTAATGGTAATCTTAGTGCTGGCAGATTTTAAATTTTAGGTAACCCTCTCTTTAAAAAAACTGGATTAATTGGATTAATGGGTTAAATAGCTTAGTATCCTAGCTTATTTGGAGTTAATTAAATGAAAGAAGGTATGAAACTTACTAATTATGAAATACAGAGGGTGACCCCAAACCTTTAGCTTATAGTGTATGTAAAATGCATTCAAATAAAGAACTGCAAGGAACAAAAAAAGAGATATATTTTTATAAAGAAGATACCTTTGATTGAGGAAATATTGTTTTGTAAAGAATTCAGTTTGGAACCAGAAATTTCAGGTTAATTAAAACTTTTGTGACAACTAGATAACAAGCACATTTGTTTTTACTTGGAGAACCCAAAGATATTCTATAGTTATTGAGATTTAAGAACATTGCCCTATGCAATTCATATATTGTAATCATTAAAGATTAAACTCTTAAATGGTATCCATTCAAATTACAAGTGTATATTCCATTAAATAAAACATAAATTGTCATTAATGTTTGTCATTGCTTAACTATTGATACTTTACAATATTTTGACTATGGAAAAAGCATCAAAGCTATTGGTGCTTAAATATTGGATGGGGAAAGTAGAGAAATAATAGATATGTCTATGTATAAACTGATTGGGTGTATAAGACAGTCCCTGGAATTTTTGAGCTCTACTCACTGTATAAGATTAAACAAAATTTGACACTAACCACTGACAGCTACCCAAACCTCTTATGGACCAGTGGAGTGAAGCAGTTAAGTACACTATTTGATAACACATTCTTGGTTATTTAAAAATTTAGCCCAAAATGACTAAATACTTTCAATTATCTGCCATATATATATATATATATATATATATATATATATATTCTCATTCTCAGCTGGAGTAGCATCAACACTCATGACATCAATTAAGCATCTGTTACAGAAACTAACCTGATGTTGAGTATAATTTTGAAATTGATTTACTGATGTATATTATTATAATGTAATTTATTGGAATTGTTGGTATAAAGTACATTGCAGGTATTTTTTATTTCCTTTAGAAATTCAATTGTGTTTCACAGATAGACTATTGCTGGGATTGCATTTGAACTATTTATACAAGTTGTTGGTTTTGTCTATTTTAATAACAAATAATAACTGATGTATACTGTTAGATTTGTTGTACTCTTAAGTTAAAACTACTTCAGACTAGCTTATAATAACATTTTTATTTTTTAATATAAAATTACTTGGAAACTTTTGCCATTTTAAGATTAGTTGGAATGAATAATTAGATAAGTGATGAAACAAGAACCCATAAAAAAATCCCTGTTGCAAAATTACAGAGTAAATACATATTTTTTTTTATATATACATGTGAAAGCACATGTGATACCATACCTCAACCAGGGAAGGTAACAGAGTTTTGGTGGCTAAGGCAGTACTGGCATCACCAGCAACTTTTGTCACTGAACAGGGTATTGTTTTTTTGTGTAGACATGTCAGTCTCTGCGATTTTTCATGCAACTGCAAGTCAAATTTTCAATGTTGTGATTAAAAGCATTTGCTTTTGACTGTTAAACAATACACAACATGCTCATAGTGACCATTATCAATGATGTAGAATGGAAGGTAAACAGATGTGTTTCATGTCAGAAGTGGCATTGTGTTAACAAAAAATGTTAGTAATAATTTCAACACTACTAAGTACTGTGAGGATTTTGACACAGGTTATATATATACATATATATGAAACCATAAATGGCAGTATGATATCTATCACTTGGTGGGTTCTAAGGGCAAAGCAGCCAGAAGAAAGTCATTATTCAACATAGAAGTAATTAGACAATTGAGACAATAGACAAAGTCTTGGTGATTTGGTACACTTTTTTGAGGGGTAATAATTTCTTTTATTTAATTTAATTTTATAGGACTCCATGGTAAACAATATTTTTTAAGAACATTTATTTTTTTTTATTTTTTAACAGTGAAGAATAACTTCTTAGGATTTCTTACTTTTGAGCATACAACATACAACTGGCCATGTATAAATATTTCTTTCTGGAGCCAAATTCCAACATTTTCAAGTGTTTGGCTTGTGATTTGTTTATAGTTCTTAAATGGCTTTGCAATAAATTTTATTTGATCAGTCAGTGTATGGCTATTTTAGAGGGTGTGACAAATGGTTGACTAACAGAAGTCATTGAATTTTATATATAGATAGATTCTTCATTTGCTCACTTTTCAAATGTTTTGCAAGTCAAGAATTTTGGTTTGTCTCTGCAATCCACTATCAAACATAATAGATTTTCAGTAATTGTATGGGAGAAATCAAAAGCATTGGTTGATTAAAGTTTATGGAGTGCATTGGGAATATCAATTCAGAAAAATACTTATTCATTTTGCAGATGAGATTTCCAGATACACTGAAAGTTATTTGGACAAAAATAACAGCTGTGTTTTTTTATGGCAGATGAAATATCTTGGGAATAGTAGCTAAATCAGTTACAACGAACCATTAATTAGTAATTTGTGATAGAATCTATAATGTTATAATAAACAATGTTACTATTATTATAATTATTTTCAAACACTGACTTCTGTTGGTGTATGTAAACACTGCTGCAAGGAATGTTAGTTCACTGTGTCATGCTAGACAATTTTCTTGTCAGAATCTATCTTACAAATTTATAAGTCTACCATTTGTCCAGGTTTTGAATATTGCTGCCACATCTGGTCTGGTGCTTCTACTATATATTTAGAGATTCTTGATAAAATACAAAGAATTTGCAATGTTATTAGTCCTGATCTGGCATCTCAACTTCAGTCATTTTCCCATCACTGTAACATAGCTTCCCTGTGTATTTTCTATAAATATTTTCATGGTAATTGTTTTGATAAAAATTTCCTCTATGGTACCTAGACTAAGCACAGTATTAGATTGGTAGCAAGGTCTCATTATTTTACAGGTGAAACGGTCAGATGTATTCATAAGTTCTATGCTAACAGTTTCTTTTCTTGCACTTCTCATTTGTGGAACTCTCTTCCAGTTTCTTGCTTCCAGGTCAACTTTGATTTTCTAAAATTTAAATACAATTTAAATACAATGTCAATTGCTATCTTCTGTCTTATTATTTTCTGTTCTTTTATTGTTCTCTCTCCTTAATAATGTTTTACTTTTTCTCATATTCTTTCATGCTCACTAACCACTTTGCATCTTAGTAGTTTTATTACCTTGTTTGGAGTGAAATGATTTAAAAAAACAAAAGAAAAGAAAAAGCAAATCCTGAAGTTTAGGTTTAATGAGGAAGAAAGGTGTCAAAATCCAAGACATTATGGACCATAGTGGTATCTATTAAAATTTTAAAACTATTTTGGTACATGTGCACTAAAATAGTAAAAATTTCCATTTTTTTAAATTTTTATTGTCAATCAAAATAAAGGAAATAAATTTAATGTAAACAATCAAGTAAAAAAATAATGAAAAGGGAAAGATTTTTCTTCTGTAAGAATACAAGTGAAACTTAGTGAATAGAAAGGTGATATAACAAACATCAGACAGTGTTAGGCACAAACATATATTTTAATCAGTTTCAAAAATTGTTTTAACACACCTATGTGGGAAAATTAAATAAAATCAATAAATAAAATAATAATAAAGAGTAAAAACAAAGAAAAACTAAATTCATTTTCCCATGACACGAACCGGAAATTTTATTACCCCACTTGGCTTCACCCAATGTAGTTAGGCAGTGCTGTTGAAGTCTATTAAAAGACAAATATTTTCCTTCCTTTCTCTAAGATGTAACACCATGTTGAAATTACGTCCCTGCTGGAGCACATTTGTTTAACCAGCCCACTGATTACTGAACTCTTAACTTTCCAATGCATGATGTCTTCTACCTATGAAGTAAATCAACCTTTTCTTTGGTTGTTCCAACTAAGTGCAAGGCTGACTTGAGTTTGATCATTATAAATATGTCAACACTCCACCAATGAAATAAGAGAAGTTTTTCTTTGGTCAATCCAACTCTGTGCAAAGCTGACTTGAGCTCGACCATTACAACAATACTAAGCCTTATTTACCCTACCTTTTGGACTAAGAAAAAATAAAACAGACATATCATCATAACCATGCTTAAACCTTCAACAATGAAGTAAGTATAAACTTTTATTTGATCATTCCAACTCTGTGCAAGACTGAGTTGAGGTCAACCATTATAGCAATGCTCATATTTACTTACTCTAACTTCTGGACCAAAAACAAAATGAACATATCCAAGAGACATTGAGAACTGTTTCACTACAATATATAGATAGATGTGTGTGTGTGTGTGTGTAAAAGAATAAATGGTACGTAGTAGAAATCTAAGTTTTTGTATGCTTCTTTGTTAACATATGAACATATACACATACACACCTACAATACACAAAACACACAACCATTAAATTCTATACCTATATTTGCATTACTAGAAACAACCAGAAAATAGTGTAACTTTATCCACTGTAATAGAGAAACAAAGTGATATAACTCAGTTTAGTATCATTTTTGTTTGTATATTTTAAATTGGTACATTCACTAGTCATCATCAGCAGAATGTTGTAACCTGACTTTGAACAGATTTTATTTCACTAATAACAATGATGTAAGTAATTTTATAAACATATTCTCTATGAGGGTAATTAAAAGGTCCAACATTTCTACTTTTATGCTTGAATGAGTTACTGTGAAGAACTTATTGATTATAATCTCATTGATACCAATTGTGTTTTATATATCACATATATTGTGGGGTCAATGTACCTGGATTTTAGAAGGAAAAATAAAATCTGGGTGTTGTGTTCACAAATACAACATAATTATTTATACAACGCAAAGAAATGATCTTTGCAGAAAAAGAAGATGACCAAGATAAATATGGCAGTAACCTTTATACAATCAGTTACATGTATTTACATATTAAAAAGCAATGTTCTTTGTTGTGGCCATGTTGTGAGATCAATAGTTCGATTGTTCAAGATGATTTGTTCCAAGTGAGTTTACAAAATTTTTGAAGTATTTTCGTTGCAAGTGAGGAAACCAAGTGGTGTGATATGCCAATATGTATGTGTGAAGCGCATGCTAATAAAATGTGACTGCTGACTGATTGCATGTGATAGCAGTAATTTTAAAACACAGTGGAAAAAATAGGAGATATAAGACTTACTTTTGTCACAGGATTGTAAGTAGAAAAATCATTGCTAACTGACGTGTTGTCATGGTAATGTGTGCGTAAACTGTTCTTCACTGACTGTGTCATTGCAAATCTGGTTGCTGACAAGTCATTTTATCACTATGGGTTAGCTCCAAATCACTATCTGAGTTTTGCACAGGAAGGTACTCAGTAACCAGAGCCATGACCCATTTCCAGGTCATTTAGAGTTCAACCGTGTAGACATAATAGAGAGTACATCATGTGACTTGCTCGATTCACTCATGTTCCAGAAACTACTTATTTAATTTGGAGTTGTGTTTGGGCAGAATTGTAAAAAAGTTTTTCATATCTAGTGAATTTAATAAGAATTATTTGTAGGCGTCTCTTATTTGTTTGTGCTTCACTTATCGTCTGTAAAATATAGGAATTTATATCCTATAATATACACTTGGTCGATCATGGCTCTTTCAAATTATAACTGACTAGGCAGAAGATTTTCTCACAGTAGCTTGTTTTTTCTTTCTTTTTTTTCAACCAAGGTCATAAAACCCTACTATTCAACTGATTGCTGGGGGGGGGGGAGAAGAGATGGATTCATAGCTATCCCAAGGATATTTGTGCATAAAGTGAATGTAATGAACCTGACTGGAATTCAAACTCAGCTCTCCAATTTCTCATTCAAAGCCAATGTCCATTACACTACAATGTATACTATGACAAATTATGTAGATACTACCAGTTTCTGCATTTTTTCATTTTTATTTTCCTTGGTGGTTATGTCTATCATAATTTAATTTTTTGTTGTCAATTTTCTCTCCCTAAAAAAAAAAAATATAAATCTTTTTATTTTTGAGTTTTATTAAAATGCTGAAAATATCTTTTTAAAGCAATAGAGATTGCCAAGGGAAGATACAGTAATAGTGGTCAGTCAGTTATGTGCCATGCGTGATACATGCTTAGGTGATCATGTATCTTTCGATACATGACTGACAAAACAGATTTTTTATCCTCTGTAGGTTGCCATTTCTTTTTGCAGTAGACTAGTTGCCATCCAAGGCTATAGAACCTGGTCTGTCCTGCTATTTACCCATAGCTGGAGGGAGAAGAAGAGGATTCATACCTTTCTCAAGGGTATTAGCATGTAAGTGAATGCAATGGATTTGATTGGAATTTGAACTTAGCTCTTCAATTCCTCTATCTGAGCCATTATCCATTGCTCCAGAGTGGTATCAAGAAAAACTGTCCTTTTGTCACACCAATTTTTTGTGGGTATGTTTGTGAAAATTTGCCAAAAAAAAAAAAAAAATAAATAAATAAATAAAAGAACATTAAAAAAAAAAAAAAGGAGAAAAATTCAAATCTTGGATTTAAATTATTATTAAAGGATAAAGTTTTAGTTTTTTAAATTTTGTTTTTAAATTATTTTATGATAAATGCTGTATAAAAAAATCTTTGCTATCCAATAAAAAGAAAAAAAATGTGAAAACGGTAAAAAAAAAAAAATTTAAACTAAAGAGTTAATAACAACTCTATAATGATTCCATGATGTTTCTTTTTACCATTTTCAGTCAAGAAAAAGAAAGAATTCTTTGAATGCAAGAAACACCAATCATAACCAAAGAAGAAAAGTAAGTAAAAAATAAGATTCCTTCTTCATCTTACTTGCTGCCAAGAGAACTAACCATTTTTCTGTAGACACAACAACAACAACAAGCAGTGCTACAACTTAGAATCTTCTGGAAGAAAATTAGAACCAAACTTTTTTCAAGATAATAAAGTTTGTTTTTTTTCTCTTTTTCGAAATTTTAAAAACTTACAGAGTTTTTTTTCTTTTTTAAATATATTTTAAAAACATTATTTTTAGGATATTTAAAAAAAATATCAAAATTAAAACCTGGATTATAAACAAAAATTGGTAGATATTGCATTTTTTAATTTTTGGTAAATAATAATAATAATAATAAATTACATAATTTTTCTTAGTTAAAAATTTCTTTAGAATTTTAGCAATTTTCTTAAATTTTATACAATTATTTGATTATGTTAATTAAATTTTCCTTTAGAAAATCAAAATTATTAAAATAAAAGTCAATTAGAAAAATAATTCTTTGAATAAAAAAAGTAAAAAGTTTTTTTTGCAGAAATATTATTTTTATAACCCTAAATTACAAAAAGTCAAAGAAAAACTATTTCTGCTTAAAAAATATTACTTAAAAATAAAATACATAACTTTTAAGAAATTAATTTCTAAGTTTTGAAACAAAGAAAACAAAATTCATGAAAAAATTGATTCAACGCAAAAAGTTATCGGCTGCTTACCTCAATTTCTTTCTCGGGCATTGAACTTCCGGTTTCAAGTTCTCCGCACCAAATAACTTTGCGCTAACTTTGTTTATACAATAAAACCCATTCAATCAAATCTATAAAATATTTATTACTTAAGGAACAATTTTAAATAACATCATAAATTACTTTAATTTAACAAAACCTATAAAAAAAATTTTTAATAGCGTGTTTGTTTTACAAATATTTACCAATGAAATAAGCAGTTTCTGATTTTGCGCGATACTACTAGCCACCTTTCAATATTTGCTTGTCATGCCGGCTGTTGTCTAATAACTTAACTGCAGTGCTATAATTTTTTTGTTATCAACTGCAGTTTCAAACAAATTTATCAAGCAATCGCTGTCTGTCTGTTATTTGAATTGCTGGAACAGATAGCGTAATTATTGAGATTGTTGTCTTTTTTTAACGCCTGTTGGATCGTAAATTGTTGAATTTTTATCCATCACGTTTTTGTTTGGAAGGTTGATTTTTGTTGTCGGATATTCATCATGGTGAAAGATTCTTCGGCTACCGATGTTGAAATGAAGGATGTTTCCAGCCCGGCCAGTAGCACTGGGGCTGTTAATGGCGTGGACAAAGAAGAGGTTAAGAAAGATCCTGATCTGTTAACACTTGAAGGTTTGTGTTTTGTTTCGACATTAAATTTCTTTCTTTACCACCGATTATTTCGGTTGTCTGCCCTTGATTCATTTTAAAATTTTATCAATTATAATCATTAAATTAAAACATAAACTTTAAAATAAGTTCTTCAAAACTTTATTAGTAATTAATTAAATTAATTCCACTTCGAAAAATATGAATTCATTTTGAAACGAAATAAAAAAAAATTAAACATTTTATAACTTTCTTACTCTGTCTCTAGTTAATTCATGCATACTGTTTCTTTTTACTACACAAAAATTAAAAATTCCTTCAAAATATGTAATTTTTTTTATTAAAAAAATAATAATCATTCACTAAGTAAAAATATATAAGAAACCAGGTCAGTTTATAACAAAATTTTAGGTACGTATGCACTTGACTATGTCTCAACTCTTAACTAATAAATGTCTTGACAGTGGAAAAATAAAAATTCTAATTTTTTTTCTAATTTTAAAATTTCTAATTAAGAAAACAAAAAAAAAATATCAAGCGACATTTTTTAAAGAAGCATCAAAGATTTAATAATCCTTTTATATTTCTTTTGTTTCAAGATATCTTTAAAGAGAATCTTTCTTTATGCATCGGAAAAATTGTTTTTTTTTTTTTGTTTTTTTTTAAATATTTCTTAGCGAATAAAAATATAAAGTTTATCTCATTACCTTTTTTTTTCTTCTTTAATATTTCACTTTTAGAAGCTATAATGATGAAAACAAAATCAAAAGCGACCGAGAGTCCAGCAGTTTCTTCTTTAATTTTTTGTAATCATCCTTCAAGCAATGAAAGACATTGATTTTATCTTTTTAATAATGTTCAATATTTCATCTTTACTCATAAAATGGCTTAGAATTTCTTTTTACTCAATGATCCAATCATATAAAATTAAAGTTAAATAGAAAATACTTATAATTAACTACTGACATAAAGCTGAAAAGTTACCAAGAAAGCAAATAAAATCGAGTACCTAACGAACTTAAATGAATGGCAGAACACTAAAACAGGATTTATTTTAGGTGAGACGTTTAAAAGACAAAATTTACTAAGTGCTACAAAGGACAGGAAATTGTGGAGACCCATGATCGTCAACGTCTTGCAGGGACACGGCACATAGAAGAACCAGAATTTTTAGTTTTTTTTAAAATAAATTACAATTTTATTAGGTACATGATGAATCTGTAATGTTGTACCAAAATCCAAGACATCAAGAATACCACCGTACTTTTGAAGACTACTAAAATATTTGGGAGCTATTTTAGTGAAACATCACCCATACTGATTGTATATGTCCAATATAATTGTGTTATGGAGATGAATCTGATGTCTGGGTGGTGTAGTGGATAACAGCTTGGGATGAGTTCATTGTGTTCAATTATGCACAAATACTCTTGGAAAAGGTAAGAATCCATTTCTTCTCCCATTGGCTATGGGTTAAATAGTAGGACAGACTTTAACTGTGGTTGGTAAACATCCTAGGAGGAGGACAAAAATTTTAAACTGGTTGTGCATGGGCATCCCATAGAAAAGCCTACAACTTTCTATGGAAATCACGACAGCAATGCCTAGCATGCTGAGAGCCGTGGCACCATAATCCTCTGGGAGTCTACAAGAATTTGAGTGAGTGCTTGTAGCATAGGGATGAATCGTGGCAATTCAACCCAAAAAATGTAACCCCAAAAAGTAATTTTTTTTTTTTTTTTTTTTTTTTTTTTTTTAAATTTTAATATATGTTGTAGGTCTTATAGTCATTAGAAAGTCCTGAAAATTTTAAGTGAAAATTCCTAACAATTCTCAAGATGTCGCAAGTTGAAATTTTACTGAATTAGCATTTTCCGTTGACGGATGTTTCCATTTTTGAACTCAATGCTCTCACAAAAACCTTTATATCTTTTGATCCACTAGCCAGAAATTAATGAAATGTGCTACCTTTAGAGAATCAAGGAATTCAAATATCCATTTTACAGGGAGTAACCAAAAAGTAGATATTAGCAGTTTTCTGGTGAAAAAAAAAATGAAAAGTTTTAGGCAGCTGACCATGCAGAAAAATTGAGAAATATCATCTTCAGCCCTTGAAAGTAGCAAAAAGTGGCACAACATTTGAAAACTAGAGTATTTGGGGAATAAATCCCAATAAGTTTCATTAAAAAGTATCAAATGCAAATTTAGCCCAACTCTACTCCGGAAGCAAAATTTCCCATATTGCATCAACATTTTCCTGATTGTCAAGATTTTAAAAGTTTAGAGAGAGAGAGAAAGAAAGAAACCAATCTAAATTTATAATAATTATTTTTAAGCAGAGTACAAGATAAATCATTTAAGATAAAAAAATAAAACTACTTGAGATAGCTATATATTTATCGGTAGTCTCTAATTGCAATAGTATAGATTATATACCTTCAATTTAACATCAAATTAGAAAATTGGCAAAATAAATTTTAAATTTAGTTTGTAGATAAAACTATAAATCATTCATTCTTCTAGTCTAGTTCTTCTCTATGATATTCATCATTTTGAAGGATGTACATGAATTCTCAAGTTGTTGCTAGAGTTGAAAGATTGCACAATATGTTGTCATTAGGAACCCAGCATATGTCTTCATGTCTTGGCCAGGAAAAAGAATTTACTGGTCTGTGTGTGGATGTAGAAACTGTATTTTGTGCAGTGTCAATTTCAAGAAGTAGACTCAGTCAGTTATGTGCCGTGCACGATACATGCGTAGGCAATCATTTATCTTTCGATACATGACTGACAAGGCAGATTTTTTTCCCCACAGGAGGTTGCCATTTCTTTCAGTGGTAGACCAGTTGCCATCTAAGGCTATAGAACCTGGTCTGTCCTGCTATTTACTCATAGCTTGGGGGGAGAAAAGAGGGTTCATACCTTTCCCAAGGGTATTAGCACGTAAGTGAATGTAATGGATCCGACTGGAATTTGAATTCGGCTCTCAGAATCCTCAGTTCAAGCTGCTATCCATTACTCAACCGTGCCTCGAAGTAGTCCAACCCACCAAAAACTATCATAAATGCATGCTATATATGCCATTGTTTTAACGGAAGTTTCTGGGTATGAAGATGCTTCTCGGCATGAAATATTAAATTTCTTTGTGGTTTGATCGTGACTAGATATTTTGTAGATTATAGTAGTGCCATCTCCAGGAATAAAGTGGTGAAAAGATCTTGTTTCAGGGACTATCAGCAAATCTAGAGGACAATTTTTTTCTTGTGGCTTTTAAATTTTTAATAGATGATATCCCTTGTTTTCTTGATAGAAATTAAATGAATCCTCAAGTCAGGATTTGATTTCTTGTGGTTTGCTTGAAGTTTTCATTTGCAGCAAGTCGGTCAGTAGTACCACCAATGCCATCACACATAGACTTTCCAAGACTTGTTGTGAAAAGCTGCATTCAGCATCCAGGCTAAAATCATTTTTATGGAAAGAGGATATTATACATTTTTGAACACAGTAAGCAAATACTACATCATGATCCTGATCTTCTGACAAAATACTAAAAGACATTAACTTGATGGTTTTGTAATTGATTGCCCCTTGTTCCAATAACTTTTAATTTCATCTTGCACTGAAAATGTGTAATTTTCTGTAAAGTCAACAAGGATAATGCACTGTGTCTCTGTAAGGGATTCCTTTTAACTGTTTAAGGTATTCACTTTGTGCTTTAGCAATGAAAGAATGTTTAGTGACATCATGGATTTTACTCATAAGTAACTCTTTGAGATCATTGATGGACATCAAATGACAAGTTTTGCATGATCTTTTGATTCTCACTGTTTGAAGCTGATTTCTTCCTCATCATCAAACTCTTTCAATTGGTATTTTAAATGGTCTGAGAGAGCTTCACTTCTGGGGCAATTACTGCATCAATGCAGCATACATTTGGAATTTTCTGTACTACAAACAAGAAATTTAATAAAGTCTTTGTCTCATCGCACTTGATCGCATCAGCTAAAAGCTTTGCATTTTGTTGATAAGTACGGGCACAAAGATTATGAGTTCCAGATGCATCATTTTTGTTGCAAAATACAGAATTTAGAAAATCCATTTTGGTGATCAGTATGATGTAATTTGAACTGTTTATGGAATTCTTTTAAATTTAAAAGTATTAATCTTTTTTGCTTATGAATGTTCCTCGAAATACTGAAATAGACTTTCTTGCTTGGCAAAAGTCGTGAAAACTGATAGTCTTCATAAAAGTTTTACACCATGATAATGCTCTCCTCTGGTAGGACCTGATTTTGCTAAAGGTAAAGCCAACATGCCCTATTCATTTCTTAACACATAAGCTTTTTGGACTAAATAATTAGAGACTTCAAAATATTTAGCATTTTTTTCTTTTGACCCAGAATTGAATGCAATTGTTAAAATCTGTACCTTTTCAGGGTACTTAGCATATCATAAATATAAATTATATCACCATTCCTTTAAGATATGTTTACTTAGCTTAGCATTGTTTTGATTGTTAGATTATATTTACTTTTCAAGTTTATGCATAGATGAATAAATTGAGAGAAATTTGCAAAGAAGTTATGTGCTTGAAAATTCAGATTTAATTCATCCTTTTTATTTCCTGATTTTCAGTGTAGACGTGACTGATTCTTGTGATATTGGAATTTTGTGTGGTAGCAGAGATTTATGTTTAATGTCTGTAAAGAAACTGGATGAGTTGGATGCTAATGATAATTTGCGTGTTTTGTTTTTGTTTTTTGCAGTGCATATTCAAACATCCATAAGAGTTGAAATAAAGAGAAAGTTGTTAAGACTTAGTGATTGAATTCCCCAAAATACTATGTAATGTTTCCCCAATGTTTTGTTACCTATGGACTTCATCATCTTTAGCAGAATGAGTGAATATTACAAGATCATAATTATGAAATTACCAGGAATCAGAATTTTTGAGAAAAAACTATTAAGATAAAGTTGCAGGTTCTCTGTGTTCTTCCATGACAGTAAATTTCAATTTTCTGTTT